AAAACCCCCCCCCCCCCCCCCCGCCCCCACAGAAGAAAATACAAAGATAAAATACTGGAAATAGCAAACTTATTTGTAATTTAGGTTGAGGGTCTACAGTTAAATCTGGCTTCATATTTTAATCTAGTTAGATCAAAAAAAGATCTCAATTAGTTAATGTAATAAGGAGCAACGGCAAACACCTGGCCTTGGCATTAATACCTTTCATGCCACAAAATTATATTTTTATAATCAGTATGCAAATAAAAATTGAAGACATGAAAACATCTTCAATTTGTATTTGTCTTGACATAATTAAAGTGTCCATATACTGTTTCTTTAGATAACTTGTTTGTGTCATACTGTTTAACATTAGAAGTCCTGTCCCAGAGTATGTCGAACATTGGTACATTACTATGTGGTTTATAGAATACACACTGTATTAGGTATTCTTCTCTAAGGCACTTTTTGTTTTTTAAAAACATCCATAAATGCACCTTGACTGATAACTATCTTTGTACAGTTATTGAATGCATAGACTTGTAACAAAATCATTAAAAAAATTGATGAGAAAGATTTTTTCGTAAACAAAGTGACCTCCCTTTATCAGTCATGTTAAAACTGTTAACAAACTGTGACCTGTTTTCTTGATGACTCAATGGCAAACCAGAAACTTCCGAGGGATGAAATCTCTGTACTTATATTTCTGTCTTTAACTTACTGTAAGTTAATTTTGTAACGTCCTTTCTTTAAGGAGGTTATTTACAGTATTATTAAAGAATTATTTAAAGTATTATTCAAAGTGTTATTTAAGTGTGTTTTAAATCACCTTATTGGACATTCAATCATTCTTATTTTCACAAATTCAAATTGATACAGTTACAAACAATTTCCTTTATAGATGGTGGACTAGCATCAACAAAAAAATAGTGAGCTACTTTGTGCCTTGTGGCCTAATGTAGTAACAGTTGAGAATTGAACTTAATACATATAATCAAATTTAAATTTTATACAAATCAATAAGATAAATCATTTGTAAGAGCTGTCTTTTCCTCCACCTATGGATTTGAAAGTTGTTCTAATGCTGTCAAATAATGTCAGCCCAGATTTTTCTTCTGAGGACTTGCGACCCTGAGACCCTGACCTTCGTCTTGTTTGTGCCGTGACACTATTCTTTTGTCCAATCAAACGTGAGTTGTCTTGCATGATGATGTCATTGGAGTCCGCCTTAGCTAAAGTCTTGATGGAAACAATGGAGGGAGGACGTAGTGATTCACTGGATGCCCGGAGGTCCTCACCACTCTCAAAGATTGGATCAAACCTGATGTAGGTGGACGACTGGGTTTTTTGTTTGTTCTTGTCTTTACTGCTTGATTTCACAGCATGTCTCTGCTCTGAGGGGGAGGTTTTAGGGTTAGGATCTACCAAGGTATCCGATTTTACACTTAATCTTTTCTTGGAGTGGAGGGTGTCAACATTTTTACCGACACTTTGCTTGCCAGTGTGTCGTCCCCGTCCATCTGGCTCATTGAGGTAGTGCTTCAGTTGGTCAACATCTGTTATGCCCATACGTCGGACATCCCTCGTAGCTCCAGTTTTTCCAGTCCACAAGTTACAGGCCTCCATTCTGCTGTTGGTGACGACCACATCTTCATCACAAGTTGCTAGGCGATATGAACTATTTCTTCCCATCATGTCTGCAATATACGCACTCTGGGTATTTCTAACTGCACAACGATAAGAGTCGGCACGATTAATATTATCATCGATACATTCTGGCGCAGGAATAGACATAGATCTGGTCTGGGCAGTGCGTGACAAGGGTGGGTTAGTTTTGGTAATGTTGTTGTTATTGATACAATGGGATTGTTTATCTGGTATTAAACTCATCTGTTGACTTTCAGTGAGCAATGCCACACGATAGGAAGCTGAGCGACCCGCAGAGCTGTTAGAATGCAGGGATTCACTCGATGTGCCAGAATGTAACACTGGCTGGGACAAATCAGTTTTTGCATTTTTACCAATCAGCTGACTGGTTGAGCTAAATGAGTACTGGGAATTGAGGGAATCATTGGATTGGCTGGGTATTGTGCTTAGAGCTTTCATTGGATACTCCGATCTCTGGGACCCACCCACTGCAGCAAGAGCAGGTTTCTGAATTATATGAGACTTGGTGTCTGTCAGTAGCATCTGCTTGATCTGGGGACCTTTGGAGATGTTTTGCGCTGGTTGCTCCGATGGGGAATAGACAACAGACCCAGGTTCACTGAAGACAGATGGGGATCCAAAACCACTATCTGCGGGACTATAAGCATCTGTCCCACTCCTGCGTCGATTGCTGGAATCCTTGATGCTACCTTTGCAACTGCTGCTTGAGCCACTTTCATTTCCACTGACAGCTGAAGAACTTGAATCATTTCGTTGCTCATTTGTTATAGGACTACTTCTTCTTCGTTCCTTCTGGGACATCCTTGGAGCCATGCTACTGTTTGCTGCCTGACATTGATTGTTACTATGAGAAGGAGGATTCGTTCTGAAATTTGAAGTTTGTGAATTATTCAATCTCGATGATTGCTGATGTGATGATGACTGTTGTGACATGTTTGGCTCAGGAAAGTTGAAGTAAGAGCTCTTGTTGTTATTTTTGTCACTGGAAGAAGTTTGAGCTGGTGCACTGTTGGTTGGCATAGTCACTGTAACAGATTGCATAGACTTAATATTAATACTAGACTGAAAGGGAGATGAACGATCATTACTTCCTGTGGTCTGGAGCTTACTGTTAGCCTCATGTAGAGCCTGGCTGACCACAGCTGATGTTTTGGGAAGGGTAGGCATATTAATGCTTGGATTATTTGGCACTGTGCTATTTGTATCTTGTGCTGAAAAGTCATTTAGATTCCTATTTCTAGAAACTTGGCTGGAGTTCGAAGAAGAAAGATCTTTCTTTCGAACTGGGGTAACGAGTGGCGTAGGGTTAGGTGTGTCATCGGTGTCCCAGTTTAGAGAAAAAGACGAGTCTGACGGCGACAGGTTGGTTGTCATGGTAACATGCGTGAAGCTGGATGTATCTATATCAGATAAAGCTATTGTGCTGTTGCTGCCAAGCATTTCACTGGACCTGTCCAGTGCCTGGAACGGCCTTGACAGTGGAGCGTCAAAGCTGTCAAACGAAGCTATGGACAAACAGGAAGATGAATGTATCGCAGAGAGATCACTTGAATAACTGGACCTGTTTGCATCATCTTTGTCATAGAAACCAGCAGAAGTTGGCGAGGTCATCTGTTGTTTGTCAGTTGGAGTAGATGATCCGACAACATCTCTAGGAAGCTGCGGCTAAAGTAAAAAAAAGAAGAAATTGAAACAAACAATAAAATATCTTTTTACTTGAAATAGAAGAAAACTGAGAATAATAAGAGCAAGCATGTGTAGCCTCAAAAACTGATATGATTAATCTATCAATGATATATGAAAAAGATCATCATTAAAAACACATGGCTAAAGATCTTTCAAATTGTCTGTGAGAATTTTTGTGTGTTTATTTATGTTATATTTGCAGTATTTGTATACTACATCTCAGATTTTATATGGCAACAGTACTGAGCATATTTACATTCATAGTAGCAGTACTAAACATATTTTCCTCCATAGTAACAGTACTGAGCATATTTAAGCAAATAGCTAAAAATAATATGCTTTCAGTTTCATAAAATTGTTTGTGTAACTGACCATATTATGATGACTGGACGGTTTCAATTCTCTGGTTGCATTAAACGTTGGTATATATTTGAATGGTCTTCCCTGTTCTGTAGCACAATCACTAGAAGACTTCTGGGTGGACAAGTCAAAAGTGGTACTGGGAGGAGGTGGGGAACTGCCGGGGGGAGAGTTACTCTCATCTGACGAAGACATCCGAGAGAGTGGCAATGGCACACCATGGGGTGATTTCGCATCAAAAAGGTTTACTACCGGGTCAAAGTTCAGTATTTTAGGGTTACCAGTGGGTTTGACCTTGTCTTTTTCAGGTGTTTTGAGGATGCCCGGTTGGAGCGACAATGGACGCTTAATCCTTGGCCAGGAGTTTGTGGTAAGACTGAAAGTTTCAGGCGACCCAACCCCTTTGGTCATTTTACTTCGAGGTATCGTTCCCGATAACCAGGATTCCTTGCCCAATTGAAACATCTCTTCGACTTCAGAAGATTCAGCATTGAGGCGTTCTCTGGAAGCACTGAGTGGATCTTTGAGTGTGATGTCATCTTCATCGCTGGCCAGCCCGGGACACCAGGAAGGGAAACCTTTGACAGAGATGCTCGTCTTCTTTTTAAGTCTGGCATAGATGACTTCATGGTCTGATGACTCGGGTGATGTTTCACTGTTGACAGAATTCGATGTAAGGCTGTTCAGGTCATCGCTGTTTGGTCTTGACCCACTGCTTGTCATTGCACTGGAAGTTCTAGGGGGAGGAACAGGCGCTGGCGGCCTTTTTGGTTTGTCTTTCATAGGTTTGAGAGTCCCTGTATCAAGGGGTCCTTCACCCATTTCAAATGCATCTATATCAGGAATGTCAAAGTCATTTAAGTCAGAGAGGGGATAATCGTTTCCGTTTCCAGCCAGCGATGCAAGGTTTGGTGACGACACAGAAGAGCCTGATGTCAGTGTGTCACTGCCCTCTTGATCAAATGCCCGGAAGATGGCACTTTCGACTGTGCTGTAGCTGGAAGCACTTTGAAGGCCATTAGAAAACAAGGATTTAGAAGGCATCATCATATCCTCATCATCTAACAGTGTGTTTGTACTTTTTCTCAGACCGCTGTCATTGTGGAAGGAAGTGTAGAAGCCTTCAGTGTCCAAGGAGTAAACAGATGATTCGCCGTCATCGTCAAAATCACGTCTCGGCTGACGCAAACACTTTCGTCCTGGCACTAAAATATCCAAATTTCTAATGTTTTGTTTTGTGAGCCTGGACAAATTGGCCAGAGCCTCTGCACTGGTTGAGGTCACGTCCCCACGACTAGCTGCCCTCTCGGCCAGGGATCTGATCCACTCGTCACTGTCTGTATTAGACATTGATTTTGTGTCTGAGATTGACTCATTGCTGGCAGCATCTCCCATGTACCCTGTGTCCAGGCCATCTCTGTGAAAAGAGACATTTCAAGTTAGTTTTTTGAGTTTACTAACTGATATTACAGATGTTTAAATACACTTTATACTGTTTAACAATTATGTAAGCTTTATTGTTTGTTTCTTGATACATAGAACATGCAGTGATATTGATTTTATTAAAAGTTGTTCTTTTTCATTTTAGATTTATTCATACCCACCCGCTACACACACACACAGGATATAATAAAGCAATGGATAATTTAATTTATATAATATTTTCTCTTTGTTAGTTCCCTTTTTAAGACAACAAAAAATTTGATAAGTTAATAGGATGCAATTTATCAAGTTAACTAGAAATTAAATGAATTATTTTTCAAATTAAATGATGATGATGACAGATTTTCTGACACTATATTTCATGTGCGAAGAAAATTTCTTTTATTTTCAAATATTGAACAGCAATTTTACCTTTCCACAGAACATTTTGGTGAATCTCTGCCAGAGTCTTTTCCGAGAGAGTACTGTGACATGGTGGAGGGCTGACTGGATTTAACATCAGAATCCAAAGATTGTCTGTTGCTGCTGTATCCACTTTGACTCCAGTTTCCTGGAAATTTAGTCAATAAATATGGCATTAGATAGTTTTCAGACTTGATATAATATTAATTGATAGAAAATTGAATGTTGATAAGAGTGAGACTGATAAATAAACAAATGCAAAAAATGGGAAGTAATGGTATATTATGGGACATTAAGAGTTGGGTGATCTAAAGGATGAATAAAGTTTCTTTAGAGGATTAGAAAAATATCTCACTGAAAATATATCACTGAAAATATATCACTGAAAATATATCACTGAAAATATCTCATTGAAAATATCTCTGCAAATATCTTACATATGTTACATTGTCACATTTATGTAAAGAATGAATAAATCAAGAGTTCTTAAAAGATAACCTCATTTGTTTGAACCCACATTTTTAAACAAAGCTTTTTGAAAATAGCAATAATTAAAGTAATTCATTGAACCATTGGAGAAACCCAAGCGTGAATAACTTAATGGTAAAAAAAGCTTAACTTTATTGAAACCAAAGTATATCTTGTTAATGTATGAACTGAGTTTGAGGGTTTTAGATGTTTAACAAGAAAAATCAGGACCAATGTTGAATTTATTCTCACACAAAAACACTTCTCACAAACCAAGCAGACTTATACAATGTTGTACAAAGCAGTTTACAAAACACATATATTACCTGAAGAGCTCTGACGATCTTCCTTGCGACGTTTGGAAATTTCTCGTAACTTGACTGAAGTTGTCCAGTCTTTAGGCAGAGAGTCCCAGGGGAAGTCATATTTTTTGGCTTGAGCTCGGGGAATCGTATTGTTATTGAAATAGTAATATGATCCTGGCCCAATCTGTGACTCAGTGGATGTTGTCCTAGATACAATACCTGAATAAAAAAAAAATTCCAGAATCTCTAGTTATAGACTAATTTTTTTTACTTACAACCTACCTCTGTTATCTCTTAACCTTTTGAGATAAAAGAAAATCTCATTAGTGCTTTCAGTGATTTGCACTAAAATTCACATTAATTACATCATGTAATAAATACTTAGTCTTGCTTACATCATGTAATAAATACTTAGTCTTGCTTACATCATGTAATAAATACTTAGTCTAGCTTACATCATGTAATACTAAGTCTTGCTTACATCATGTAATAAATATTTAGTCTTGCTTACATCATGTAATAAATACTTAGTCTTGCTTACATCATGTAATAAATACTTAGTCTTGCTTACATCATGTAATAAATACTTAGTCTTGCTTACATCATGTAATAAATACTTAGTCTTGCTTACATCATGTAATACTAAGTCTTGCTTACATCATGTAATAAATATTTAGTCTTGCTTACATCATGTAATAAATACTTAGTCTTGCTTACATCATGTAATAAATACTTAGTCTTGCTTACATCATTTAATAAATATTTAGTCTTGCTTAAATCATGTAATAAATACTTAGTCTTGCTTACATCATGTAATAAATACTTAGTCTTGCTTACATCATGTAATAAATACTTAGTCTTGCTTACATCATGTAATAAATACTTAGTCTTGCTTACATCATGAAATAAATACTTAGTCTTGCTTACCTCATGTAATAAATACTTAGTCTTGCTTACATCATGTAATAAATACTTAGTCTAGCTTACATCATGTAATACTAAGTCTTGCTTACATCATGTAATAAATATTTAGTCTTGCTTACATCATGTAATAAATACTTAGTCTTGCTTAAATCATGTAATAAATACTTAGTCTTGCTTACATCATGTAATAAATACTTAGTCTTGCTTACATCATGTAATAAATACTTAGTCTAGCTTACATCATGTAATACTAAGTCTTGCTTACATCATGTAATAAATATTTAGTCTTGCTTACATCATGTAATAAATACTTAGTCTTGCTTACATCATGTAATAAATACTTAGTCTTGCTTAAATCATGTAATAAATACTTAGTCTTGCTTACATCATGTAATAAATACTTAGTCTTGCTTAAACTTAAATCAAAGCAGCAAAAGAAAACAAATTTTACCACGAGCAATTTATGCAGACATAATATTAAATTTTTTTTTAAAAAGTAATGAGACTTTTAAGGATTATCTCTATACTAACAAAGGTGATTCATTCCAACAAGATGCTGTTTCACAAGTTTAAGTAGCTATAAGTCTGTGATCCATTTATAGGTAGAACAAATCTGCTTTTCATACTTTCCTGTTTTCTGAATATGAACAATTTTCTAACAAATCTAACCTAACAAATGAAAGTTAACAAAATTTGAAAACTTACCGTCTGGCATACTAGGGGAAATAACTCTGCTCAAACTGGATGATCTGTCTTTGAGTCGTCCGCCGGCCTTATTTTTAGTGTCTTCTTCATCTTTAACTTCAATGGAGTCAAAGTCAAGGGACTTTGGCCTTGGCTTGAGTGTGTTGGTGACCAATGACTTAATCTTCTCCCCGATCATGCTGGACCTCTTGGATGATCTGGAAGATCTCAAACTACCCAAACTGGCAGTGCTTGTGAACTTGCTGTGTAGGGCATCCGTGGACTGTTTGAGTGAGAACTCTTCATTTCTGCTTTTATCTTGTTTCTTTTGGTAGAGGGAGGACCGAGTAAGTCCATCCTTTCGGGAGCCAGATATAAGTTTGACACAGCGAGGAAGTGATCGAGAGCGCCTGCAAGGCAGGAATTTGAGAAGTTTTGCCTCCCTTTGCTCTGCAAACTCTTCCTCCTCTCGCTCGGCAATGGCGGCATCTATTTCCATGAGGTATTGCTGCATCACTTCATCTTTGGCGTCAAGGGCTTTCTGGTCAAGGTCATCAAGACTGTACATACGAGGTCGGTCTCTATCAATGCGTCGACCTCGTTCAAACTGCTCGAGCTCCTGACAAGTTAAAGATGTAAAAATAAGACACGTTAGACATATTTACTTCCTAGATTTGTTGCACACTCACACAAAACTAAATTTTTTTAAAAAATGGAACACATAAAAATTGTGGTTTGAGGCTTCCTTCTAGAAACATTAATTAAGCAGAGAGAGGTCAACTACGTGACCTGAAATATATTCCAGACAGTGGTGAGCTCAAGACTAAAATGTCAACAGTTATAGTTCTACTTAACGATCAAGGGCAACATTAATTCAAAAGCTATGTGTTTTTTAAATAATAATTCCTGCTATGTGATTTTTATATCTTGACAATAAACCCCATATCCTTGATTCCATCACTAGATGCAATCATATTATGATAAATAATAAATATGATACTTTTCTTATCTCAACTTCTTCAAGAAGAAGGAGTGTTAGTTTACATGTGTACCATAGGAAAAACCCAGCCCATTATAGCAGAAAGTTAGTTTACATATGCAGCATATGAAAAACCCCGCCCTTAAAAGCTGAGGAGCATACAATTTTCCAGGAAAGCATTCTAACCTGCATGATATTCTCAGGTACTCCAGACACGGTCCGTCTCCTCCTCTTTCTTCTCTCTTTGTCTCCCAGGTCATCCTCCTCTCTCAGCGACTGCCTGAAGGAGGCCATGCGCTCAAACCCAGCTCCGGATGTATCAACAGGGACCAGGATGGATGGCTGAGATTTGGACATGTCAGATTTGCTGCTGCGGAGATCTCCCGGTGAGGATTCCTGAAATATCTCATCAATGCTTTGGATGGTCTTTCGTCTTCTTTCTCTGATTTTGAGAGTTTTGTAACTTTTCTTGTGGGCCAACGGAGATGAAAACTGAAATGTGAAATGGAAAGAATTGTGAAAAGTGCTTTTTGTTGGTCTGTCATAAAAATGTAATTAAAGATCATTAATTAGTCAGTATATTAAGCCCTCCCTATTGGTGCAGCTTTTGTGAGAAATACCCATTTGTTCTGAGCTGTGTAGGACAGAAAGTGGCAGAGTTTATGCTGGAGTTACACTAAAGTGTTGAAATCTGCATTGGAAGCCATTATGTCTCCTTCAGAACTGGTTATTTCTATGTTCAGTTGTGTTACTCACCCCATGCTATATAGCATAGCATTGATAATCACATCAGCAGCAAGTCATATTTTGATCTCAGGTCAGCAAGTTAACACCAGTATATAGCATTGATAATCACATCAGCAGCAAGTCATATTTTGATCTCAGGTCAGCAAGTTAACACCAGTATATAGCATTGATAATCACATCAGCAGCAAGTCATATTTTGGTCTCAGGTCAGCAAGTTAACACTAGTATTTAGCATTGATAATCACACCAGCAGCAAGTCATATTCTGGTCTCAGGTCAGCAAGTTAACACTAGTATATTATCCCACTAACTTTGTTTTAAGGAAGTTAGCATTAGAAGCAAGTCATCTTTTAGGTCTGGTGAGGAATTCAAACAATAACAGTAGAATGTAACACCCCTTAGAGCCGTGGTCGGCAAATCACGGCTCGGCCAGTCGGCCACAAATCGGTTTTGACTCCGAAAAACATGGTTCTTGGCAGATTCTTGAAAAGAAATTTGGCTCTCAAAAATTTGTGTAATTGTCCTGCTGCTGATTTTTGGCTGTATTGACTAATGAGTTTTCTGACCACCGCCTTAGTGCGCCACAAACCTACCATTTTGGGGATGTCCAGGTCTGGTCCCATTGCTGCTTCATTGAGAGCGATGGGCCAAAGCTTGAACAGATGTGAGCTGCAGAGTCCGTCCTTCCTGTACATGTCGACACCCCGCAGGGCGTGCACTGGGGTGATGTCACACAGGGAGTAGTTGAACTTGATGCAGTGTGGCCGGTTGCCTGGAGTGAAGTGATCGCAGTCGAATCCATGCTTAGCCACGTGATGGTCAGTGACAGCACTGAACTGTTTCAATGTGCCGACAGCTGAAAGAGATGAAATGACGTACATGTTTGTTTGTAAGAGTTAATTTTATATTGGATTTTTTACTTTTGGTCAGGTCTTGTAATATGTTATATTCTATGTTTGACTTGAAACCAGGTCTTGTAATATGTTATAATTGTTGTTTCACTTGAGACCAGGTCTTGTAAGAAGTTATAATTGATGTTTGACTTGGGGGCAGATCTTGTGGGAAACATGTGGTTCACAATGTTTTTATGACCAGACATACATTTAAGTAGAATTAAAATGTGCAGAATTCTGACAGATTTTTTGGGTGGTTTAGAAATAGACGAATAATAACCAAGGATTAGGCATAAATTGGTAATACACTTGATATATTTTACTTGGTAGTAAAGTTGGTAGAGTCAGTTGCGTAGCTAAGTTTGGTGTCACCCGGTGCCGGTGGGGTAAGTAAACTCATGGTGTCACCCCCTCCCCCCGACGGATTTCTTCTTATTAAAAAATAAGTCCACAGAGTAACAATGGCAATGGGAGGAATAAAAATTAGTTGAGCCTCCAACTCTATCCTAAACCCAAGGAAGGTTTGTTACAACTGATAAAAACCAAGGTATTCGAATGAGAAACACTCAAGATTTTTTAAAATACCTATTAATTTTTATAAGTTGCCATTCTAATACTAGGACCTGTGAGTGTTTGTTTTATTCTAATGGGAGTCGCTTAGTCAATTATTTTGTCACGTGATATGAGTAAAAACGAGTAAGATTTCCGGTATACTGTATACAACACACTAGTGCTTGACAACAGTAGCCCGATACACACTACAACTACACTACATTTCGTCCAATGAAAATTAACAATAAAATAAACAAAGGGGAATGACTCCTGCATCAATATTGAATAAAAACGCAAATGACGTCATGAGCACGCACGGAGCTCAACAACATCCTGCCGATAATAGTATTGATAGTTCCCATCGAATATCGCTCACAAATTTTTCTTGAAATAACTTTCTTCCTTTAATTATAACTGACGTATATTTATTGTCACATTACGAATATCGCTCACAAATTTTTCTTGAAATAACTTTCTTCCTTTAATTATAACTGACGTATATTTATTGTCACATTTATGTATTTCATTTAAAAAACGCTTGCATTCCATAATATTACGAAAGGTAAAATTTTTAATTAACATAACATTGGGGAAGCACTGATGAAGTATCTTTTGTTGTGTGTTGCAGCCTAGTGATGACTTACTCATATCACGTGACCAAACAAGGAAGTGACTAAGCGACTCCCATTCTACTGGAGTACATACTTCTCGATAAAATCAAACGAGTATGTACTTCTTGTCAAGATCAAATGAGCATATACGTCTTGAATAGATCGAATGAGCATTGGAAGATGTATCTATGTCGTGTCGGATTAAATTTAAATTAAAATGCATTTCAGAGTTTTTCTGCTACCGGAAATTTGATCGAAAGAAATTTCGTCGACGTTAATTGATCGATGGAAATTTGATCGAACGGAAATTTGGTCAAATATTTTTTTCAGTCCCCACGTTAAAATTTTCATCAAACTTCTTTTTGAACGCACTATAGGCCTACTATAAATTAAAACAAAATAATGCGTTCAAAAAGAAATTTGAAGCAAAATTTTAATGTAAAAACTGAAGAAAAAAAATTCGATCAAATTTCCGGAGTTTTCCACCTCAAGCAATTATTTATATATTCTGTTTTCGGGCTACTTCAAAATTTAAACACTCACTCATTTTCCTTCTGCCATACTTCTATTGCTGCCCACAGATACTACTTACCAGCTAAGTGCTATTTCTTATTTTTATTTTTATACCGTTTTTTTCTGTTGTTTTGTTCGCTGACGAAGGCTTTCTGCCGACACGTTCGCTGTTTTGTTGCGTTTATTTTTTCAGGTTTAACCCTACTCTGTTTTACTCATTTTATTTTGTACTAACCTGATTGCAGTCTCTCCCCTTATTACCCCTAGAAAAAATCTTGTAGCATAAATCAATATATCAGCGGAACACAAAAACTGATACGTCACTGATGAGGAAAGCAATTATTTAATAAACAAAGGTGACGTTGTATGCAATTTTCCAAAGATACCGTGTAGCTGTACGCCATATTGTAGAGCAAGTTTTTTCGACATTTTTGGACATGCGCAGATCGGTGCGTCGACTAGTTTTATAGTACCTAGTCAGAGAAAGCTTTAATTAATTATTCATGTGCCAAAGTTGAAAGTTTAAACTTAGTCGACCCTAAACAGTATTTTAATTATAAGGGGATGCGTTGCCTTATGTAAAGTATATAGTCATTGGTAGGGGTGTGCCGGATCCGTTTTTTCCAACCGGATCCGGATCCGGATTTTCTTATGCGAAATCCGCCGGATCCGGATTCCGGTTTCTCCCGGATTCCGGATTTTGGTACTATTGGTAGATACTTCGGTAAGTCAAGGTGGACTACTACTTTTTGTGTATGGGAATTCGCAATCGGCGCCAAAAAATCCGAGTTTTTAATTTTCCGATGTGTGTGTCTATTTATTATTAAATTAGTACTTTCGATATATATTTGAGTTCCGTTCCATTTGGATAAGTGTCTTACGAGAGANAATGTCTCTAATGGCATGAGGTCTTAACATTCCAGCCCGGGGGTCCCAATCTGGGTTTCCCTGTTGTTATGAGAATTCACATCGGCATGCGGACCCCCAACCACCGCCCACCCACACCAAACTGGAATGCTCCTACTTAACTGTCCCTCGTCACCAGCAATCTACACTGCCAATCCCTGCCCCCCCCCCCAAACCCCACGCCCCCACCCCCCTCACCCGTCACGAGCAAAAGCCACCCACAAGGATTAGGAACGTTATCGCTATGTGATCGACGTGGCTGTGTTAAGGGTCTGCCTGGCTTTGTTTTAAGATGAATCCAGCGACAACAGACTGCACACACAAAAATGAACTTAAAAATGTTCAGATTGAGATTTGATGAAAGTGTATTGATGTAATAGGGAACTTCCCTATCTAAATCCGCGTCATTAAAATCGGATTAAAAAGTGTAAGACGAAAAGGAAATAAGGAACAAAGGATTATGTAGAAGGAAGATTAGATTAAGTTTTTTAAAAATTTTTTTAAATTTTTTTAAAAAGAGTCGAATAATGCATATGATAAACAAAAACTATGGATATTATGAAAATTTAATTCTATTACCAAAGAAAATAGTCACATATTCTGTAGCCAGGGCAAATAGTAACATAATCTAACGCCAGGGGAAATAGTCACATATTCAATCGCCAGGGAATATAGTCACATATTCTATCTCCAGGGGACATAGTCACAGATTCTATCGCCAGGGAACATAATCACATATTCTATCGCCAGGGGAAATGGTCACATAATCTATCGCCAAGGACACAGTCACATATTCTATCTCCAGGGAACATAGTCACATATTCTATCTCCAGGGAACAAAGTCACATATTCTATCTCCAGGGGACATAGTCACGTATTTTATCTCCAGGGAACATAGTCACATATTCTATCGCCAGGATATCGAAACATAACGAAAAATAAATGTATGCACGGACTGATTAAATTACGGGTTACAATATCCATTTAAAATCAGAGGATCCATTAGTCTGGATGACTTCGTGGAATTCCCAAAGTGGTGACGTCACAATTTGAATTAAGCTCTGCTTGTCTGTTAAGTGGATCTTTTCTTAATTAAAAAGTGTCATGTCAAGTTCACACCAGAATGAAAATCTTTGTGTCGAAACAGCTGATCTTCCCAATGGGTCGATATCAATCGTTCGTCCCTAAAACTACCTGGTGATCTAGCCATCTTCCCTTCAATGTGACACCCCCCCCCCAACAACAAAAGCATCAACAAACAGTGACAGTCTAACTTGCCCACCGCTGTCTTACTACAGATGCTGAGACTAGCATCCTACATCATCCTACATCATCCTTGCTATCAACCACGAATGTGTAACAGCCAAGTCAACATTATTTATTCACTGAACAAAATAACATTTAACAAACGTGTGCGGGGTGGGGGGGGGGGGGTAATCCATCTAAACTCCAGCTATAGACAGATTGTTTTTGTTCGAAATCTACTGCTGACGTTCAATTTGAATAACCCCAGAACTACTTTGGCACCAAAGAAATAATTTGGGGGGGGGGGGGGGGGGGGGGGTAATCCATCTAAACTCCAGCTATAGACAGATTGTTATTGTTCGAAATCTACTGCTGACGTTCAATTTGAATAACCCCAGAACTACTTTGGCAGCAAAGAAATAATTTGGCATCGAAATAACTACTATAATAACTAAAGAACTACTTTGGCAAACAAAAAACTACTTTGGCAACAAAAGAAATATTTTTGCCAACATAGAACTACTTTGGCGGTAGTTAGGAATAATATATGTTAAAAAATTTCAACTTTTGCACACGATCATCGGGTTGAGAACCTTGCAAGCGATCATCGGGTTGAGAACCTTGGATTATTTAAAATGAAACCTAAAAGTGAATGTTTCACTCCGGCAGTTATTTGATGATTTTGTGTTGGGTCAATGCCATGACAGGGCACTTGCTTTCCATCAGTTTGATAACCACTGTGTGCTGAAATTGGTGTCCATAAATTGTGGGGCCATTTCGTCACCAGATCAATCACCTTGACACGACGTCACACGAGTAATGGACATTTTATGAATATGTGCTGAAAAAGGGGGGGGGGGGGGGGTGCTTAGGGGGGTTGGGGGCGGAAATTTTAAATATGACATGGTGAAGTGGCATGGCGACGTCACCAACTGCATGAATCACGGTTTGTAAAGGCCATTTCGTCACCAGATCAATCACCTTGACACGACGTCACACGAGTAATGGACATTTTATGAATATGTGCTGAAAAAGGGGGGGGGGGGTGGGTGCTTAGGGGGGTTGGTGGCGGACATTTTAAATATGACATGGTGAAGTGTCATGGCGACGTCACCAACTGCATGAATCACGGTTTG